AACATACCTGCTATATTTTTTTATATTTTCCAGAATTTCTATAAATTAAACGGTTGTCTGGAAGAGATCGCTTTTAGTGATATGACCGCCTATTGTACAAATTTATCTGTTTTTTGATTGTTTTTTTGAATGTAAATTGTGTTTTGGTGTGCAATAAAGTGTATTCTCTCTCTCTCTCTCTCTCTCTCTTCATCAGGCATCTGAAAATTACACATATTGATAACCAATATTATGGTTATTCTATCTTGTCCACATTCCTGAGGTACAAAATATTTTATTAATAATTATGGACGATAATATTTATTTATTACACTTCATGTAAAATTTACATTGGCGAACTTAATGCGTAAGGCATTCTCTACCAGCCAACCAAAGGCAGTAGGTAATCTCTATATTTATATATAAAAATGAATTGCTGTTCGTTAGTCTCGTTAAAACTCGAGAACGGCCGGACCGATTTGGCTAATGTTGGTCTTGAATTGTTTGTCGAAGTCCAGAAAAGGTTTAAAAAGTAGATAGATATGAAAATGCTCGGAATTAAATAAAAATAACAATTTTGTTTTTCCTTTGATGTGTCCCGCGTCGGACGGATTCTTTTTGTTTGTGTTAAGTTTATTTTATACAAAAGTTTAGGTCTTTTATTTATCGATTGAGGCACGAAGAATCGATTACGAAGTTTGCCGGGTCAGCCGGTATGATTATCGTTTTTACGTGACCTGGAGGTACAGACGGATTGGAAGCCCGCACGGGTAGGTGCCACTATCCAGCCCGTGACTGCTGTAAAGCAGTAATGCGTTTTGGCTTGAATGATCCAATCGTTCTACTATAAAACTGAGATTCATGTCGTAAATTTCATGGTGGTATTTACGTTGCTGATGTCTACGGGCTTCTGTAACCACTTAATACCAGATGGACTGTAAGCTCGTTCATGTGATTACACAAAAAAAACTACATCAGTTAACTTCCGAATTGAGGAAATAGGAAAACAGGGAACTGGGAAGGGAAATAGTAATGATGATAATAATAACGAAAACGGATCTCCAATTGAAACAATTATTTCATTATCACATATAATCAATATATTCTATTTAATACAATTTACATTACAAACAACACTGCAGTTTAACAATTATATATATATAAATATACTTTGTATCTTTTCTGATGAAATGCGAAATTGTAAACATAACATAATATTATATATACTTATAAATGGCTCTTTAAATTAAATAATTAAGTATTAGCGTTTTAGCGTAACGACAAATTATTTTTAGCGTAAATAAAAATTATTATTGTGCATTTATAAAGTTTAATCTTGCCTTTGTTTTACTTGTACAATTTCCGGAATTTGATTACTGTTTAGTAGACAGACATAGGGTTATGCAGCTTCGAGAATAAATCATCGAAATTCGAATGATAAATCATGGTCACCCGAGTTAGTTTGAAGTCGTCGTGGCCTAAAAGATAAGACGTCCGGCGCATTCATATGTAGCGATGCAACGGTGTTCGAATCCCGCAGGCGGGTACCAATTTTTCTAATGAAATACGTACTTAACAGGTGTTCACGATTGACTTCCACGGTGAAGGGATAACATCGTGTAATAAAAATCAAACCCGCAAAATTATAATTTGCGTAGTTACTGGTGCTAGAACCTCTTGTGAGTCCGCACGGGTAGGTACCACCACCCCGCCTATTTCTGCCGTGAAGCAGCAATGCGTTTCGGTTTGAAAGGTAGGGCAGCCGTTGTAACTATACTGAGGCCTTAGAACTTATATCTCAAGGTGGGTGCCGCATTTACGTTGTAGATGTCTATGGGCTCCAGTACCCACTTAACACTAGGTGGGCTGTGAGCTCGTCCACCCATCTAAGCAATAAAAAAAAACACATTTATCATAGTTAAAAAAAGCATGTGTTTGTAATACATTACAGCTTTTATTTCTCTAAGAAGTACCTTGAATAACTATTTAAATAAACCAAACATTTTGTCGATTTTAATTTAAGATAAAACTGTTTGTTGTCGAAATATAAGTTTAGCATTGAATTTTTTTTATTTTTAGGACCATTTGCTTAGAGATAAACAGTGGTGATATGGCGTGTTGTAAGCTTGCACGGATCAGCACTAACGTCCAGCCTATGTCTGCCACGAAGCAGTAATGCGTTTCAGTCTGAAGGGTGGGACTGTCATTGTACTAACTATAAAATTAAGACTTAGAATTCGTGTTTCAAGTTGGGTGGCGGCATTTATTTTGTTGATGTCCACGGGCTCCGGTAACCACTTAACAACAGGCGTGCCGTAACCACGCTCATCAACCGAAGCAATTATTATTATTATTATTATGTATTTTCATTTCATCAGAGCAAAATAAATCAAAAACATCGAAGACAATTTTTGGAATATTAAAAAAAAAAGATGCTTTTTTTGATTAAATCAATTAGTTTATAATTTCACATTGAAATAAAGCTCGACTTTTTTCTGTTAATTTTCTAATTTAATTTTTATAATTATTAAATTTAATTATAAAAAAAATAATAATAAAAATGGCAACAATTCGTATTTTAGAATTTGTACATACTAGTTTCTTTTTTCTTCTTTCTTTTTTTTACATTATTTACATATTCATTTAGTAACAATTTTCATTTTTACAATCCTAAATATTTTTTGTTGTCGTATCGTGTGCGTGTAAAATCTAAAAAAAAAAAAACATTACTTATTATTTTCAATTACTTAAACAAACCCTTGCCTACATAATCTTAATTAATTTAAACACAAAACAAAATTAATTTGTAATCTAGATTATAGTAACATGCGTTGGTAATTCCTGATTCCATTCTGACTATTTTATACCAGAGAGAGAGAGATAAAGAAAGAGATATTTCCTTCTTTTTTTATGATTGAAATTTTACTGGTGGCCCAAAAGCCTTTCTAGTTTCACCAGGACAGGTGGAAACCAGGACAGGTGGTCTACGTCATCCGAGCATTGATTGTTAAAATTAAAATACTCTAACAGTCTCTCAGCCTATTTTTTAAAGACTAATTTTAACCCATTGACTGCCGTGTAGGTAACCGGTGCCTTACGCGGCCCACTGAAGTTATTATATCGAATTTAGTTACTAAGCGCCTGGATTACCTAACTTTGCCTTCTTTTGTTGAAGTACAACTTCTAATGCGACTTCCAACAAGGTTGCGCTAAACGTTTAACATGGCATAGAAAGAGACAGAGCGAGAGTGAATGCGTGGTACTCGAACGCATGCGCGTAGTATACCTGTTACAGGCCAGCGCGAGCATTAGCAACGAGTAACCAATATTTTAATGAAGTTATTAAAACATTATAAGTATATATTTATTTTTCTATCTATAATTTAAAATATACATAATATAAATGATTGAAGTTGTCGAAGGTTTTACACAGCATTCCCTATGACAAGAGCAATCTGGTTTAAGGATGAAAAAATGAAGAAAACCACAATACTGCACATTGAAAAAGAAGTTTCACTTCATTCACGTGCACCAAGTTGCCCGCGCACCGATTTTTTTAAAATGTATATTTTTAGTTTTTTGGGTCTCTTAGGTATTTTCATTCTTAGTATCATCGGAGTCATCTTTTCCAAAGTCTACTAGATATTCCAGCTAAGAAAATCGAAGAGAGAAATCAACATAATTACTTCAGTGGCACGCGCCAGTCGAAGGATTAATTATGTCACGCAAACCAAAAATTGGACGTGTATTGGACTTTCAAGATAAAACACGAGGCTGAGGGGTAGATCTTAAAGATGATGTACATTCTAGAACGCCACTCTACTCCAAGTCGCCGCGAGAGTTCTTGGAAGGTGGAACCGATGGGAGAATCACGTACGGGACCCGGAAACGCCCTGACCAGTAGGCGTTAGAGATCGAGGAAAGGAAAGAATAATTTAAACAAAATCTTCAAACGCTATTGTTGATTCTAATTGTATCGTTTATATGTCGATGCTTCCTAAAACAAACTAAGAGCTGCTTTATTAAGTTAACGATTTGATTGCTGATGCCCGTGAACCCCCGCTTAGCTTACTATGCAGATATTGTGCATATAGTAATGAGCAGAAAACGTTAGTCAGACAGTGGTCAACGTGCAGCGATCCACCGCGGTCACTGACGCGAATAAACATGTAGTCATACTCAGTGTTTTATTGACCACTCCGATAAGGTTTATGGAGGACAACACGCAACAAACAACCAGCGCACACGCCTCCTCTGTCTTCTCTCTATGAACCTCACACTGAGTATAAATTATATGTTTATTATTATATGAGTATAAATTATATAAAGAAAAAGTAAAAATCTTTAGAAAAACCCTTCATTAATCTAATTTCCTCCAGTTGCCACTTACCGTAGGGTGGGCTGTATGCTCGTCTAAACTAAAAAAATATTATTACCTCGTACAAAGTTTTTGATACTACTGTTCCTTCAGTCTTTTATATCGTTAGATGTTCGGATTTTTTTTGTTCTACATTAAACTCTATCGAATTGACGTTAATTTTACTTACAAATTAAATTTTTAAAATGTTCTGGCAGCTTCTATACTATTAGGCCTTTTGAAGAGAGAAAACTGAAACTTTTTTAATTACGCAGCGCAATAAAAAAATAAATGGACGCCATCTGTTTCAATTATAAACTATAAACTAAATAGTTAAATTATATTCATTATGAACTATACAAAATAATTTATCTTATTGTTAAATTAAAAATAAATGTTATTCTTTAAGAAACAAATTCTTGTTTGTTACTTTTCTTTTTTTGTGAAACACTTAAAAAAATCACTAAAAAAAGCGTTTTATAAAAAAAAAAACTCAAATTTACGATCACGACACCACAGTAAGTACATNTATAAACTAAATAGTTAAATTATATTCATTATGAACTATACAAAATAATTTATCTTATTGTTAAATTAAAAATAAATGTTATTCTTTAAGAAACAAATTCTTGTTTGTTACTTTTCTTTTTTTGTGAAACACTTAAAAAAATCACTAAAAAAAGCGTTTTATAAAAAAAAAAACTCAAATTTACGATCACGACACCACAGTAAGTACATTCATGAACACTCGTTTCATATAATTTAAACTCAGTTCCATTGTTCTCATTAAATCACTAGCACACTTAAAACTCATTTGCATTGTTTTGCGCATTGTCAATTTTTCACTTAATAACACAATAACACTATTTAATAATCTCGTTTTCATTGTGCACTAAAAGTATAGTGTCAACTCATTTTCATTTTGCACTAAACGTATAGTGTCAACTCATTTTCATTTTGCACTAAACGTATGTGTCAACTCGTTTATATTGTTCACTTCCGTCAAGTCTTATATTCACTGTACTGACTAATTAGTTTTCTTCACTTCAGTCTTTCGTTGCTAATTTTAAATGCTCCGAATTTGATTCTGGTGATTTTGTTGAGCTATTCTTGTTATCACACGGCGTCTGTACCGGAGAATTTACTGCGAACAAGATATTCATTTACTTTAAGTGAACTTTCAAACATCATATTGCAATTCTCAATTGCATTGTTATAAAGAACGTTTTGCTTTTTAAGCCCTTTTTTATTGCTTAGATGGGTGAACGAACTCACGGCACTTGGTGCTGAGTGGTTATCTGGGCCCATAGACATCTACAATGTAAATGCCACTATCGATCTTGAGACATGAGTTCAAAACTCAGTTTCATAGTACAACACTTGTTCCACCTATCAAACCGAAATGCATTACTGCTTCACGGCAGAAGTAGGCTTGGTAGTAGTACCCACAAAATGCCCTACCACCAGTAACTATGCAAGCTATAATGAACACAATAAATCATAGTTAAACGTTGATGTAATAGAAAAATGTATACATACCATTTATCCTACTTTTCAAATGTGGTAACGTATTGGTTCGGTCCACGCCTTTGCTATAATAAACGGTGTTGTCCGTGTTAAATCTAACCGGGGGCGAGTTGGAACAGCTCCTGGAGTCCTGGGTCATCAGGGACCTTGGCTCCAAGTGGTATCTCGGCTCCAAATCCGGCATCTGCGTCAGATTGAGGGGATTCCTGCTGCTGTTACTGTATATCGTTGGAGGGGGGGTCGCGTATAGTTCGGGAGGCATTAGCTGTTCAGCTGGTAACTGAAAAGAAGGAAGGCCGAGTCAAACAAGTCGATGTGTTACGTGAAATTAGTTGAATTGTATTTTGATTCGGGTTATAGTTTACCTAGTTGTCCTAAATTTTTATATGCTTATTATTGGTCAATTCAACGGTAAACAAAACTGTATATGTTGGCGGTAGATAACCTTGCCAGCCATGTTTATTTACAGGACCGGAAAGTAGTCCACTCTTTTTAGGCCAAATTAGGTGAATATCTCGAAAAATCGACATACCCAGTAAAACTATTCTCAAAATTCACATATAATTGGGTAGTCGCAAGTTTTAAAGTTAGGAGTCAAAGGTCACAAAATCGATATTTTTCAAATTTTTTGCAGTGAGCTCATCTACACGTCAAGGAGAAGCTGAAATAACCTCTCAAGGCTATCAGCATAAGTAGGAGAGAAAAAAAATCAGCTCGAGAAAATCAAACAAGAGAAAGTGAAATCGAAACTCGTTTTTTTCTGTTTTAAATATCGCGCAAAATTTGAGTAGCTCCTTGAAGAATTAAACAGTTGATTTAGGATCTCCGGACAGAATCAAATGCTTTCAAGAAAAACAGTTTACAAAATGCGCGTCGTCTTTCATATTTACTTAACTACTACTCAAAATAAGCCAGAGTGTATTATTAGAGTGAAAATTTTTTTTATTTTATTTTGTCTGCCAGCTAGGCAATGTCTGCCAGCTAGTTATGCTAGTCTGCCAGCTCGGGCAATAAAAAAAAAGTTGTTACCCCTTTTTCTTGTCATAAAAAAAAATGTTTTTCGAGATTCCGATCTGGTATTGGATTCTGCCAATTACCGCTCATGCTAGAATCAGTGTTAGCAAGCTCTTTCAGCTTTAGTCCGATGGCTGGACGAGCTCACAGCCCACCTGGTGTTAAATGGTTACTGGAGCCCATAGACATCTGCAACGTAAATACGCCACCCACTTTGAGATATAAGTTCTAAGGGTTCTAAGGGCTCAGTATAGTTACAGCGGCTGCCCCACTCTTCAAACCGAAACGCATTACTGCTTCACGACAGAAATAGACAGGGTACCTACCTGTGCGGACTCACAAGAGGTCTCTCCACCAGTAATTACGCAAATTATTATTTTGCGTAGTAATTAGTAATTTTGCGTTAGTAAAAGTTACGTTACTAGTTACTAGTCGCAGTTAAGTTACTAGTCACTTACCAGGCCAGTAGTATTCAGCGGCAAAGCATTCTTATATTTCAACCAATCTTCGTAAACCTTATCGTACTGTCTGTGACAATCGTTTGGTCCAACATTCGATAAATGTAGACTGCTCATCGGCCCCAGACTCTGTATGCTTGGCCCCAAATTCGGCATTGGAGCCAAAGTTGGTGCATACGTGGGCCGTCTATAATCGATTGGCCGAACTTGTATGTACTGGTTGCATTGGTCCAGATTGTGATCGTAGAATCTGTCGCAGTTCGTTTGAAGATCGTATTTGTCTGGCGTTTTCGAAATCAGAGGCCTTATAGAGCTGTAGTCAGTGGTGGAGGATTTATTTGAACAACTGTCACTAATTTTTCCATCCAGTGGTATTATATCTGGATTTTTGTCTGCAATTAAAATCCTTTAGTTAGTTTA